ATCAATTTGTAATGATAGGCTGGTGCCTGTAACAGATTATTATTAGTAGTAAATTATAAGTATTATAATTATTAGTATTAAACCTGGGTACCTCTGTCCCATTCGTGTTTCTACCGTGAAGCGGTTGTGTTTGCATGGCTGTGTTTCGGTTTGAAGGGTGGGATATGGTGAATTTACAGAGTACAGAGGAATAACACCTGAGTCCTTAGGAATGGCAACGCATGGGGGGGTACTGTTATGTCTATGGTACTGCTCATGTCTATAGGCGACAGTTACCACTTTCCATCAGGTGGGCCGTCAGCTTGTTAGCTATTCTATGTCATATAAAAAAAAAACTATCATCATTTCAGCCATTATCCGTCCACTGTTGGACATAAGCCTCCCCTATAGACTACTATAAAGTATACATACTAAAGGTTCTGAACCACCTGCATCTATTGACTCCCTGCAATGCATTTCACGTTGTTACTCCATCTAGTGGGGTAGTATTGAACTATATTTTAAGGAAAACTTGAGATTTATTTATTGAACCATTTCGTTTCCACCCAAACCGTAAAAAAGTGATCGTTTATTTTGACTTTCTGTTACTTTTCATTGTAGCCATTGTACGCTTAATGTAAAAAGTTCATTACTTTTCCGTGATAAAAACTATTACGGATTGTTTTTCGCTTTTTGTAGTTCTAGTTTATAAGATTGCTGCAGTACTTACTTATTTATAGAAGAGTTGTCTATTTTAAGTATATTAATCTTCAATCGTTAGTATTATTTATATCTTTGAAAAATGTTTTTTTTTCATGCGATTTCTAGAAAAGAAGGAGGTTCATAATTTCATTGTATATTTTTTTATCGTTGTTAACTCATAATTCCGTTATTTGTAAACTAATTTGAAAAAATATTTTTTTTTATCTGAAAGGAGATTCTTTCAGATTAGATGTATAGAAATTTTTTCAAAATCAGTGCAGTAGTTTATTTGGTAAATCAAAATAACCAGTATTGCCACAATTGAAGTAGATGTTTTTTTATGAAACAAAACTTATTATTGTTAGTAAATATGAATCTTAACCACGTAATATATTTCTTATTTATTTATACGACTAGAAATAACAAACAGACTGATAGTACCTGATCCAAATAATAAAAATTACTTACTAATAACAATTTTGACAAATGGGCACTTTAGACATTACAGATATTGTAAGTTTTGCCCAGTAATTTTTTTATTCATTCTTCAAAGTGAAAGAGCGACACAGAGAAACTCATGTAGAGAACTTTGCAGAGCCTCCCGCTGTAATGTTCTGTGTGTTAAATTTAATCCATTTAGATTTAACCATTTATGTGTAACTGAAATAGGCACTACCTAATAGATAATAAATAAAGTATCGAAACAACATTATATATTATTGTCTTAATTATGTTAGTGGAATTTTATCCCCCTAAATTGATATACAGAGTGGCCTTGTTTTAAAACAAGATGCGATTGTAGGCAAAAAGATCAACACAGAATATTATAAGAGGCGTGAGAGCTCGTCGAAAGCAGTGCGTCGCTTTATGATTACCAGCTTCTCTGTAATAATAAAACATCGACAAGCCGCCTTTATCGGCTGCCTCTTCGATAAGCATCCGTGACGAATTCACACCACTCGTACTATAACTTCAATATATATTAAGAGCACCCTGAATAATGACCGATGGAAGCACGGCGACAAAGGAAATCATATCTTAACCTTCTTACCGGATGGTTTAAATTGCTGCGGCGTAATTTAGTTTTTAAGCTGTTTATTTTTTTCCAAAGGGAAAATGGCTGAGATATACGTTTCGATATAGGTAAATTCATTTTCATGCGCTACGTTTCTCAATTTATTTCGAAATTTCTGTGTTTTATATTCAGGCTTCGTAAGTTACGCACAGAATACACCACGTGTATGTGAAAATAATTATCAAGATAAGCCGTTCGAAAAATTTTACGAATATTACCTAATCTCCATGTGATTTCGGTTACATATTGTCGGATGTAAAAATAATAGTTTCTTTTTTATCAACCATACAATTTTTCGATATAATTATTATCAAAGAAATTATCTTATTTCTATTGGGTTAAATAAGCATATTTTTCAACCAATTCTTGTATAAAATATGTCTGATTATTTTATAATATTGAATTATATAATACAAAAAGATAAATATTTAAAGATTAATTACTTAAAAAAATTTATAATTTTGTAGAATTTCCCCCAATTTGTGTTATATTCAGGTACAGTATACTTACCTAATGCTAATCACATTCATTTAACAAGTCATTAGAACTACATAGTTTAGTTCATACTCTCGCCAAATTAGCTATATTTTATAGTAGAGTATCATATATGTTATTCATATTTATATATTTTTTTTTTTCTTTTTTTTGTGGCGTTCACCCCGATATTAGGGTATTTTGCCAAGAACAAAACGGGGAAACGATAATAGTAATAAAAATACCTAACACAAACGAATTTAGAAAGGATAAGGATTAGGTCTAGGATATTTATAGGATATGAAGGATATACTTGTACATATGAGAATATACTTATAAATATATAGGAAAAGCAATTGATGCAACTATAAATGTATTCATGTAATATAACTAAATCTTAATATTGTTATCATATATATATGAAGATAGTATTTTATAGATAATAGGATCATTGGAAGAAAGTAGAGTAAGAATAGAAGTTGGGAATGGAACACGGATGGATCGGAGATGATTAAAAAGGGAGGTGTGGTCAAATTTAGAACATGAGAAGAATATATGATTCAAGTCCGCCACTTCAGCACCGCAATTACACGACGAACTTTGTACAATACCAAGCTTGTATAAATGAGAAGGTGTGCATACGTGACCTAGACGCATACGAGTTATAATAGTTGTTGCGGTCTTTCCAAGCTTTAATTTACAAAACCATGGTTTGAAAGGAATATCGGGTTGTATAAGGCGATAAAATCTTCCTTTTATTGTACTTGTTTTTTCCCAATATTCCTTCCAGGCATACCTTAAATATATTTATATATTTATTATCTGACTAAAATTGTCTATAAATCTATTTACATTATTACACTGTTTTGTCACTGTCTTTCAAATTGAAAATTTAGTACAAAAGAAAGAGACAAAACAGTTCAATAGACAAAATAGATTTCTGAGAGGTTCGACGTTATGAATAAAGGGTAAGGTTCTAATAGTATTTTTCTTTAAAAGGATGTGTAGTCGATCTTAACGTTAGCTTAAACAAACACATTCAAGTTTAAGTCATTTATAAGTTAGAATTTAATAAAACATATATTTATTTATTCGCTTTACAATTAATTGACATATTAAACATCAATTCTGACAGATGTCACTGACAGTTTACACAGATACTAAAACTCTACAGAATATCTGTATAGGTAGACATTAGTATCTTAAAATAAAAAAATAAAAATAAAAAAACATAATTTGGTCTTGTTAGGTACTAATACAATTTTATTGTTAGTGGTTTTTAGAGATGATCTAAGTCAATAAATTTAATTTATGTACAATAAATTTATGTATTTAATTTAGTTAATTGGGATAAGGTAGGTATATTAAAACATATACTAATTTAATATGCCAATATATGCTAAAAGATGCGTTTTTATGTGCACTATTTTGTATTTTTATATTTTCCAAATTCATATTAAGATTCAGTTAGACCTAGCCATACCTATAAAAAATCACTAAGTACATTTTTTGCACATAAATATTTTCTGAATTCAAGCGGTTGCTTGAAGAGCATAGATTTTTCAGGAGTCATTTTTAAAACTCACAGTTCAATAACTTCAAAAAGTTGTAGATATTAAAAATATCAATTTTTACGTTAAGTATTAGTTTTTTTTATCTTATTGTTACTTAGATTCAATGAAAGTGAATTATTTATTTATATTGTTTCGTATTACCAAATTTAAGGAAAGTGTGGATCTTTTAATTTGGTAGTATGTAGACAAGGCTACCGCATTTCATATCATGATTTAATCTAATTTATATGCATTTAACTGCAACTTCAAAATATCACTAAAAATCATAGTGAGAGAAATAATAAGCATTTGCTTACATTGCATTGCATTTGGTACAATTCTCACTCTTTTTGTCGATGCATATGCATACCTATCTAACGTCAATAAATTAGTCAAAATTTTGATACCGTTCTTTTTGAGAAATTTTACCCAAATTACAGCAGTTATCTACCTTATATTATTAGTATAGATATCCATGGAAATTGATGAAATTTCATGGCACGTGATGCACTCTAATAATAGATAGCGACTTTTTGGTTGAAGTTCGTCTACCTTTCTGCCATTCACGGAATCGAGAAACGGTATCTTGGTAAAAAACACGCTTCGTGACCGATGTGCCGGTCTGTTTCTTTGCTTGCCCGTTTCGAAAGCCAATACCATCCAATAGTCAGAGATAAATATAGAAATCTAGAAAGATACTTTTTAAATAAAAATAAAAATATAAACATCACATAGAATCTGCTTATCGTGCTTTTTACCTAACGTAGGCCAAAAGAGTGCAATACTACAATTTAGTTTTTGTAACATTTCCAAATATGTATTAATAGATACTTAAACGCAGTCTAAAATTCACTTATATCACATCGTAAGTATCATATCAATTCTCAGTAACTGTTTCATCTCGCCGATAAAAATACAATGCTGAGAATTTTAATAATACTCATTCATCGTCGAATTGGTGTATAATTCAAATCTCTTTTTCTGTATCATCGTAATTTACATACGCTAAATAAAAAGCGGTGTCATCACAAAAGATATTTGGAGGCAATATAAACATAATATCAATTTAAATTCCTTGTTAGTGGAGCGAAAGCCGACATCATACCTGAAAACAGAGGCTTGTGATTGGTTAATGTTTCAACCAATAGAATGAGCGGGCCTCAAGCTGTTCGGGGAAGCTACGACGGGTCCGCATCGAACGGGCGGACCCACAGTCTGACCCTCCGCGCCTCAGTTACACTCCACAACTTGCGTCGAAGTGACGTGATCACTTTATACGTGTTGTTGTTATTCATTGACTTTAAACCATATATTTTATTATCCGTGTAAGTGACAATGCCGCGACCTTCGCGCGAATCATATGGTGACCAAAAACCACCGTACTCCTATATTTCGTTAACAGCCATGGCGATCTGGAGCTCACCGGAGCGCATGCTGCCGCTGTCGGAGATCTATCGGTTCATCACGGACAGGTTCCCGTATTACCGGCGCAACACTCAGCGCTGGCAGAACTCACTGCGGCACAACCTCTCGTTCAATGACTGCTTCGTGAAGGTGCCGCGCCGCCCGGACCGGCCCGGCAAGGGCGCCTACTGGACGCTGCACCCGCAGGCTTTTGACATGTTCGAGAATGGATCACTTCTCAGGAGACGCAAGCGCTTCAAGCTGCAAAAGGGAGAAAAAGATAATCTAAACGCAGAATTAGCAGCTCTTGCAAGTTTTAATAGAGCGTTTTTGGCTCGGCAAGCAAGCGCACCACCTCCACCGCCAGTTTTACCCAGTGCTAGTTTATACACACCATCAATGTGCCCTCAATTGAGTCCTGAACCGGCGGAATTGCCAGAAGTTACAACAATGACGATATTACCACGTGAAAGACCCCGACGGGCGTTTACAATTGATGCATTATTGGAACCCGAACCGCCAAGGCTGTCACCTTCCCCTCCTCAGCCAGTACTGGCGATACAACCCATTCCGAGGCTGGAGCTGTCGATGCAGTCTCACTACATGGTAGCTGCACAACGATACCACGCAGAGCTGCTCCAGGCAGCAGCGCACGCGCTGCGCCCTTGCTATCTGCCGCCGCCGCCTCTACCCGTCGCGTGACATCATCGCTCTTTTGTCAGCTGCCCCAATATTTCGTGCAATGCTAGATTGTAAGTACATTTAATTCTATAAAGGGCATCCTACTTATGCAAAATGATGCAAGAATCATTTTCCATTTATTAAACCCAATTGTTTTGTTGATAAACAAAGGTCATCTAAACAAACCTACTTACTTGGGTATTATGCTGAAGCAATGAAGTATATGAATTGAGACGACGTTAAACATTATGTGGAGGCCTAAATGTTAATAACATGTCGGCCTGGCATTTACCTAATTCACGAATAGAAAATATGATTTAGCGATCTCATAATTAGGTAATTGTAGGTAATTATCAAAGTAGTCGTAATTGATAGTGTGTATTTATTGAATCAATAGGTGATGTTGTGAGAATAACATGTATGTACGCATATTTTGTTTATGGCATAGCATAGCTAGATCACAGTGATCTGTTCTTTTTTTATGCAACTTAGAATGCCAAACAAGCTAACGGCCCACCTGATAGAAAGTGGTAACCGTCGCCTATAAACATGAAAAGTACCATGAATGTAAAAGATATATAGAGATTTCGCTGCCGGAAAGCACATAATTAAGTATGTCTCGAGAGAAAGATACATAAATATTTTGTTTTGTAAATAGGTTTTCTTATAATTAAAACATTGTACTGTACGCTAATCGCTACAGAATGTTGTTATCCGTTAAGATTGTTATTTATTTTAGCTAAGATTTATTAACATTTAATTTTATTATTTTTATAAAAGTTTCTACTACTATTATCTTTGTAAATATGGTTCTAGTTGTTGTATCTATTGAATAGAAATATTAAATTGAATCATTCTTACAAATACATTTTGTTTTATTTGAATTTACTAAACCAGCGATTTGTTGGAATTGTTACGTGAATGTTTTTATTATTACAAAATATTATTTTCTCTAATGATAATTAAAAAGAAACCTGGATAATCAAACGAATAACCTATATCTTGTATCTTAAAAAATATAATAAAAAATATGTCCTAAATTTATAAGCGTATTATAGCGTGATCTTAAAAAGACTCAAACAAATGAATGATTAAAAATAAACTCGATGAAAAATCGTGGAGCTCAACGTGGGGGGCGTAACTATGTTAGAATGAAAGGTGTGATGGTAAATGGTAAAAAATGGTTGTCTGATGGTGGTCTGTTTCATGGTTATAATAAGGCGAATCGACGGCGTTTGTCCACTAATAGGTCGTGATATTGGATTGAGCGCGCATGCTGACTCATCGACATCCTTGTTAAGGTTGGAGTACCTTAAGAATTCCGGCAATTGGTGATGGTTCTTGGTCGAGCTCTATCTTCACTAATAGCAATTAATCCTAGTTGCACATTTACTTACTAACCAGTATTATACCTATCTTTCAGAGATGAAGAATAAATTTGCAATAATTAATTTCGGTGTGGATACGAATAAATAATATATTTTTTTTAATTTTATCGTCAAATGGTACAAAATACTTTTTCTATAGTTGTATATTGACGCATTAAATTAAGTATTTATCAAACTAATACTGGACATAGTATTAAACTTAATTCTTTTTTACTGATCAGAAAAAAAAATCCTATAATTAATAAAATTTAGGCAATGAAATTGAAGAACGTATATTTCCTGTAAGTATCTAACAATATTTTATGTACAATTTACTACAGGTATATCTTAAGGTACTAAGACATACAATAAAGCCTTAAAGTAAAATATTTAATGTCTAAGTATTTACATAAGCATAAATATATATAGTTATATACATTAGAATAAAATTGTAGCTATTATATTTGTATATAGGAGACATTTTAGAAAATTTGATATAGGAATGGTGTCTTAATAATAGTAAAATCAATAGAAACTTATTATTGTTATTTGTCTATTATTTATTTTCATATCAAAAACTACTAGACCGAATTGAGCACGGTTTTCACATTTGCGTTTCTGGAATTCTAACTTAAAATCTAGTATATGCTTTATTATGTATTTCCAAAATGTACACGCACGAAGTCAATATAGGCATAAGCTAGTATTTAATATTATCTTCAAAATGGAATAATAGAATATTGTAAAGCACCAAAAAGCGATGATATATTCATCAACTAACTGTGTTTGATCAGATGCGGCGTCACCGCGTCAGTCCAAACATTTATTTAAAAACATTTTTAAACGTGACTCAAAGCAAATAATATGCTTTGTAAATGTAATGCCAGTTACAAAGCAAACTCGACACAACGGCAGCAAATAGAATATAAATCATATTATATCAAGTATGGTAGATATGAGCGTCAATTGATTGACAGGACATTTGTATGAGCCAAGTTGTAATTTTTAGTACAAAGTATTTGAAAGTATATATTGAAGTATTCGTTAGTTGTATCATACATTGTAAGTAGGTAATTGTGTTTATGCTGCAGTTCGTAACGTTGCATAATTGGTAGACATCGGACTTAAGGTATACCTACATGAACGCTGATTTTTTTGAAAAAACTCTCATAACATTTGATTTGTATTTATTACCAGTAGGTAACAATTAGTAAGTTTTTTTTAATGGATGAAAATGGAATGGTAATCCTACCTGCGCTATCGGTATAAACTGTTGGGTCACCAGTGACAGATGATAAGTGAGGAAGAAGGCAGGTCAGTTAGCCCATCGCGAAGAATTCCACAAGAATTAACCAGGATGATGTCAAGGGGGAACCACGTGGAGGTTGACCCTATCAGGTCCAATGCGACTTTAAGGAATCTATTCCCTAAAGTCGCACTAAACTTTTATGTTGTCTGTTTTACTGATGTTGTCTCTTGGTTATTAATGTTACCCGTATTAACACTTGTCTATTCCCCCCTATTTGTACTAACACTTAAATATTCGTTTTTAGCATGCAATTTCAACACCAAGTGTCATTGTTTACTACCGGCAAGATTCAAGAACCACAGAAATAAGAATATTTCACCGTGTCTTCCTAACCATGACGTTGGCGGAATCTACAATCATATAAATTAGTGGCAGCCATTTAAATTGAAAAAAGAAGTAGAAGATATACCTTCAAGAATGCAAATATGAAAACCGCATCCAATATGATGCAGTAGTTTCTACGTGATGTTGGAACAAACATACAGAGTTACAGAAATTTATAAAAATTATTATTTTGGCATTTTACCATATTTTTTTTTATATATCTTCTGTGTAAAGGTAGTCTACTTACATTTTTTTTTTATATTAGCAAGGTAATAAATCCTTTTTTTAGTTGGTATTAACTTTCTATTAGCATACTGACCAGGCGATTTTGTGTAGCGTTTTAATTCGAATAATTCTTCTCACTTACACTGTGTTCAATTAGCAACGCCTGCTAATTGACATTGACAGTCAATTTTTAAAAACAATTTTTATGTGTCTTTAAAAAAATACTTAAAATAATCAAGTTGATTTATATATGAACATTACCAGAGGAAGACTTTGTACAAAAGTCGTTTGCTTGGACACTTCTGTTCCATTTGTGTTTCTACCGTGAAGCAGTTGTGTTTTCATCATTATGTTTCGGTATGAAGGGTGGAATATGGCAGTGAATTTACAGGATACAAAGGAATAACACCTGAGTCCGTAGGAATGGCAACGCTTGAGAAGTATCATGGGCGAAACAGTATACTCTGTTATATCCATGGTACTGCTCATGTCTATAGGCGACGGTTACCACTTTTTATCAGGTGGGCCGTTAGCTCGTTTGCCATTGTAAGTTACATAAAAAAAATGTTGAATTTGTAATCATACCTAAAAAAAAACTGTTAACTTAAAAACTGTTGTTTGTTTGTTTTTATTTTAGAATATTCAAATAGGTATTTATTAGCATAAAAAAATAATTCACTGATAGTTTGTTAAGGAAATTATTGAATAATTACTGATACAAATAATAAACAATATTTATCAAAAATTGCCAACTGTTCTCCAGTTATGAGGTTACAAACAGCGATTAATTTTTATTTACATAAATTGATGTTGTAGTTTACAATCACATCCATTTTTAACTAATAATCAAATAATAATAAATAAAATATAAGTTTTGATGAATGACTGGTAATTAAGGTATCTATTGCCGGCTTTCTGTATGAATACTTTTAAATTTAGGAACTAAGTTTTCTTTTGAAGATTTTAAAATATATATCTACTAAGTATATTAATATCCAAGGTCATTAATGCCTACTTGATGAGTTACAGCAGTTTTACAATTTTTTTTATATTTTTTTATGCAACTTTGAAAGGCAAACAAGCTAATGGCCCACCGCCTATAGACATGAGCAGAGCCCTAGACATAACAGTGTATATTGTTTTCCCCATGATACTCTCCATGAGGACTGAGATAGTTCTCAATGTTTTTTTTTACGTTTTTACAGTTAATATTTCTCTGTAACCTGTAAATTCATTGTCATATCCCACCCTTCAAACTGAAACACAACTGCTTCACGGTAGAAACATGAATGGGACAGAGGACAGAGGACAACACAATAAAATTTTTCAAATAACAACAACGAACCAACTTGTTTATATACACTTAATAACCCTTCCAGCGTACGCTCAGCAAACACTCAATAGTTATCCAAATAATAAATATTTGTAAAGGCAGATGTCTGAAGAGGATTATTACACGACCCTAAAATAATAATCGGCATCTCTTAGCACTCCCGTTGACGTTTTTGCTTCGAACACCTTTGCACGAAACTGTAGCCTATAATTTAGAAATTAATATCTAACACATTGTGCCTATCCTATCGTCCCTCGATTTGCTGTTTTTATAGCTTTTCCGACACCGTAACTGCTAATTATTTCTACCATGATATAACCTTAAGGGTCTTTGATAATAATGGCTAAACTATTTTCAACCATCTCGCGATTGTAATAAGGGTTAAAAATATTTAACAAAGTTTCTTGATCAGAAATCTGGATTAAATATGGGCCGGGAGGGAATGTCGTCGTTTTGTTCAGTCAAAGCTGTCCAGAATTATATTTCGGCTCCTCGTGCTTCGTCTTTTGTGCCAGCTGATTTTATGAATGACAGATTGTATGTACATTCAAGTCATTATATTGTTTCTTTTCATTTTTATCACGCTTGATTACGCGTTTAACTTTTTTATTATAATGATTTATCGATTTAATGTTTTAAATACACTATTAGGATTTAACGATGTACAATTTTTTGCAAGTAAGTTATTGCCAATAAAGCAGCAGGTATGTAGGTCTTATTTACCTGCAAAATTTTTTTCATCGCATTAAGTTCCAATAGTGTATTTAAAGTATTAAATTGACAAGTAAATTTAAAGTCTATGTGACGTCGACTTGGATTGCGCCACGTCGTCATGACCACGACGATCTGGTACATTCCACGTCGAAATGTCGCCAATGAACAAGCAAGTATGTAGATTATATTTATCTGGCAAAAAAATTTAATCATGTTAAGTCCCCATAGGGTATTTAAAACGTTAAATGGATAGGTTAATTTAAAGTCTATGTGATGTCGACGTGGATTGCGCTACGTCGTCATGACCACGACGACATGGTATAATCCATGTCGAAATGTTGCCAATAAACAAGTATGTAGATCCTATTTACCTTCCAAACATTTTTTTATCGCGTTAAGTTCCAATAGTGTATTTAAAACATTAAATTGATGAGTCAATTTAAAGTCTAGGTGATTTCGATGTGGATTGCGCTACGTCGTCATAACCACGTCGTCGTGGTTATGACGACGTAGCGCAATCCATGTTCATTCATGTAACAATCCATGTTGAAATGTTGGCAATAAACAAGTATGTAGATG